GCACATTGCTGAGCAGCTAGTGAGCTGGACAGCTAATTGCTGGTGATCGTCCTTATCTGTACAGTGTAACGTTTTACAGAGGCTACAGACAAAACTGTTGTGAGGGGATCAAGTGTTACTTCCACAGATGCTGAGGACGGCCTGAGTTTGTAAAGGTGCAGGTGTAATAGACTGAAAGGGTAAAGAGGGGAAGAAAACAGGAGAGAAAAGAGGACAGAAGTTAGGGGGAAAGGTGAGACACCTCAAGAACAAGAAGTAAAAATCTAATTAACATCAAGAAAAAGCCCAGGACTCTATTTGTTCCCTTTATAGATGTGATCCTCAGACATCACAGGCTTCTGTGGTCTCTCTGAGGGAGCCTATGTGCCTGATGTGCTGCAGCTCTCGGCCGTGCCTGCGCTGTGGGGACTGGCTCTGCAACGCAGCAATGCTGGGGGAGTTTTCCTTCGCCTCATGTGGTTAGACAGCATTGTCTCTTCAGGCACAGTACTTCTGTAAGGTACTTTACTAGTTCCTGTTCTCATTTACAGTAATTTATGTATTGCTTGGTTTAATTATGTATTACCTAGTCAGATCCTGTGTAGTCCAGAGCGGTTTTGATCTGAAGCCTGCTGATTGAGTACGAGATAGGTGAAGTTGTCCTTTATCAGCCATCAAAGAGGTTGGTCAGCCAGGATGGGGAAGAAAGGCCACTTGGTGCTTCACTGAGGGTGCTTGGACATACGAGCTGATTTTAATTGGTTTTAAAAGCTTATGGTTTCCTTCTTTCCGTTAGCTCACGTACACATACAGACCTGCACATACATGTACACTCAGGAAGGGATAATGTTTATTTGTCACCTGAAGGAGTGCAAATTCCATGGTGATCATCACATTTCTTCACCATTTCTGTTTTTGTAATGACAAGCCCTTCTCTAGCCCTGATACTCCCTTTTCTCCATCTTGCCAGCAGTGCTACAGTAGGAATAACTCTACTAAAAATCTTTTCACCTGCACACAACTTGTTTTTTCAGTTGTTAATGAAATTGTACTGAGTTAATGTGTCACAGTTTGCTGACTTTCTGGTCTCCCTGAGATTTTACACAGAATCACAGAATTGTAGGGGCTGGAAAGGACTTGTGGAGGTAACCTTATCCAAAGCCCTGCTAAAGCAAGTTCCCTACAGTAGGTCACACAGGAAAGCATCCACATGGGTTCTGAATATCTCCGGAGAAGGAGACTCCACAGCCTTTCTGAGCAGACTGTTCTAGCTCTCTGTTACTGTCACAGTAAAGCAGTTCTTCCTCACAAGCTTAGCTGGTTGGTCATCCTTTTCCTTGCTGCATTAATCCAGTGGCAAATTTTGAAGATTACTAAATATTATGTAGGATGAGACTTTAATATACACTGGCAGTTTAGTTGCGTGTTGTCAAGCTGTTATTTCTTACCACTCTACAAGCACCTTTTCTCATCTTTGCTGACTAAACTGCAGATATTTTGTTGTTTGTTGTTAAACTCTATTGCTGATCTGTTTGTGTATATTTTTGAATTTTGCGTAAAAAGTTTGACTCATGACAAGAAGCTACGTGCTTGTTTTTTACCATGCTCATCAGTTCTCTATAAATCATACCAATTTGCCAAAGTAGATCATTAGGTCAAATGCTTTCTTAGAAATGAAACAACCTAGTTCTGAGAAATGTTTTCCATTACTCCTGCTGGTGGACAGGAAAGACATTTTGATTTCCTGGGTTTAAAAGACAGTCAATGTCCGTTTCAAGGAACATTATCTTCAGTGCAGGAGGGTAATCTACCACTTGTAGAATGGAAGCTAAGGTAGTGGGGGAAATGTTACCAACAGAATAAAAGTTTAGGAGCCATATTGCTGGGCTGAACCCAGATGTTACAGTTTGTTTGTGGTTCAGGAGGTAGCCAGCAGCACTGTGCTTCTAGCAAGGCAGGCAGTGACTGTACAGCCCTCAGGGAACCTGGTCAGGCCCAGCTGGGGACTGTTGGCAGAGGCTTAAATTGGGTATTTTCCACAATTTGTGTATCAAATGTTTTGTTTCTCATACATCTAGAGTAGCTTTGGAGACATTAAAAAGCCCAAGGCAAATAAAAAGAACATTGGCAAGATCATTTTTTAAAATCTTGTGATTTAAAAGCTGCTACTAATACTCAGTTTGCTTCAGAGCCATCATGTTGGTGTTTGCAGTGTTAAAGTCAAGGCAATTGGTGTCTAGTGTGATTTGTTGTTTGTTTGTTTCCTGATGAATAGCTTGTGCTTTTTGACTATGGCAACATGAAAATATCTTTGCTCCCTCATCCTTTAAGAAGCATCATGTTGCCAGTTCCTGAAGCTGCTGTGGAAGACAAGTAATGCCTCAACAATTAACTAAAATTAGTAGCAGTGTAAAATAGTTCTCATTTTTACTAATTCAAAATCTAAATTTGTATGGGAGGTCTCCTTTGCTCAAGGGATAATCTTGGGACATTTTATAGAATTTTATCTAAAATCCTGGTGTGCTGGATTCTGTATACTCATTTGAAGTTGTCTCTGTCCTGGGCTGAAAATGGCTTCCAGTTTTTAACAATATCTGCAGAGTTGCTCTAAAAGATACAAAGTTGTCCTTCAGAGAAAACAGAACCACAGTAAATAGCCGACTCCATGATCTGTAAACTCTTCAGTGAAAACAAGGTAATTATTTCTTTTCATTACCGTCTTTTCAGTGTTTTGCATGTTTTGCTCCTCCCTAGGGACTGCATGGGAATATCATGCTGACTGTATAAGTGTAAATTAAATGTTTGTCTAAAAGAAGAACTATTAAAATGTAATTCTGGCAGGATGTGCCTGTCAGCAGGAAGCTTCCTAAAATACCCTGTGTTTTAAGGGTGGAATTTTAGAGTAGGAGGGAAGTGTAGAATTGCTATTTACCTGTCTGATGCTGCTTTTGACACACATGATGAGCCAGCTTCATTTGACTGTCACCTCCTTAGGAGGCAGAATTCCTCAGCCCACACTTCTCTTAGCATTGACTACTTCTTTATTTACTCTTTGTGCCTTTGCATTTTATCTGGACTGTGCACTTTCAGTTAAGCTCCAGTTAAAGACAGGCTTCTCAGTCAGGGCATTGTAGGAGGGCCTGCAGAGCCTCCCACACAGTGCCTTCCTCAAAGAGAGCTGGGGAAGTCTGTTCCTTTGAAGAAGCACTTTTGAAACAAAAGGGATTCCCCCGTATCTCTGGCAATTTATTTCCCACCACACATGTACAGAGCCGTTGGACCGATGGACCTGCTTCCATCTGTCAGATTGTTCAGAATAACCAGATTCAGGATCTCCTTAGGTGTGCTCTGTCCCTTCAGGTCGCCTCTGGGGAATGCCTCAGAGGGGTGGTGCATGAAGGAGGGCTTTGACAACTGGGGCTGAAGGAACCTCTTCCAGAGAGCTGGGAGATCTCTCAGAGAATGAAATTTTGGAGAAGGCGTAAACTAAATGAAATCCCTTTCCTGTCACCTTTCTTCCTCCTTTTCTGTCTATTCAGATTTTGACTTTTTACGGTTCCCCTTATAATTACATGTGGTTAGCAGTCAGAACAGCAAGCAAACAAACACACAAAAAACACCACAAAAGAGCGAGCCATTAAAATGGACAGAAAACTTTCAACTGAGGTGCCTTCCCATGTGAATTTTTATTTCCAAAAGCATTTTTGGGCAGCTTAGAAAACAGCAACCATGATTTGGCACTTTCCTTAGCTGCTAGAGCAACTGATAGAATTAGACATCTAGTCAGATTTAGCAGGAAGAACGAACTGGTGAGCTAAAGAACAAGAACACAACCAAGACCATGTCTGAATAAATTTCCAGTCGTGTGTACATAGGCCACTTATTGAGAAAGATAAGAAAAACGAAATTTTCATAATCCTGATTACATGCAGAGGATTGACCCAGATGCATGATTTTAGCTGTATTTATTATATTTAAATACAATGTATGCCTTCACATGTGTTTACTGAAAAGAGGAACCACAGCCATTTAAATTAAATGCCTTTTTAAAATATTACTATTTAAAAAAGAAACTATTGAATTCCTGCATACTAAGAAGTAAAGTATATGACTGCGGTGTTCTAGAATTAATTAATGTCTTATTTTAGTTTTAAAATCAAGAAGAGATTTTCTCATTGCTTGCAGAATAAAATAGCTAAATCCTCTGCTTAGATCTGAAAGTAGTTTTGCCCACAGCAATCAAACTAATATTTTCTTTATAGCTCGTTTTCTCTGTAAGCTTTCTACTGATTTCATTAGGCTTTAGATCAGGTTCCAAGTAACTAATTATATTTATAGTGTGATTTCTTCGCTTGGCATAACTAATTTAGGTAAAGGATCTGGTGGGAATGGTGAAAGGCTAAGTAGTATACTTTTACTCTGCTTGTCCAGGTGCAAGATACCAGGAAAATTCTGGACTTGTAATCTCTCAGTATTTAGCTGAGCAGAAACTTAGCTATTTTCAATCCTTTGTGAGTGCATAATGATGAAGAGTTGATACATTGAATCTTTCCTTTGTCTCAACTGGCAGCAAAAGTAGGTGTCATACTCTGGGTGTTTGAAAGTGGTGATAAGAATTCAAGCATGGGGACCAGAGGATGTCCGTGTATTTTGCTCATTCTCCATTGCCCTAAGCTGTCTTCCTAACATTTCAGAGTATATATCCCCTCCTACAGGTCTGCTGCAAAGCCACCACCCTCCCTTTCATCACTTTCCCATCTTTGCCACAAATCCCCTCTCACCTATAACACACAGGCCTGCCCCTGTTTCCCCTGATCTACAATTCCATCTTTGAACGTGCCAGCTGCCCCTTTGCTTCTGTTACTGCTTTCCTAAAGGTTGCAACAGGCAGCTGGATAATGCTTCTCTCAGCTGGCCCACTCCTCAAAAATAAAACACCCTTCAGCTCTGGTTTCTGAGGATAAAAATGTTGGACATAAGTAGGTTTGTTTAGCAGCTTTACTTTGCTAAAGAATATTTTCTGAAATCCTTTTCAGTGAGCAATGCCTATCTTGAGTTCACAGAATCTTTCTTTCTTTTTCGTTTTTTCCCACCCAGATTGAAATACAAAGGCAGAGGCCCAATTCAAGTTGACTTTCTGACGAAATATGGTATTTGACAGAACCCTGTAGACTATAAGGGGGATATTTAAAGGATGGATCTTGATGTTAACAGAGGACTCTCAGAGGAGGCCAGCAGGTTTTTTGTTTGGTTTGGGTTTTTTTGTTGTTTTTGTTTTGTTTTGTTTTGTTTTTTGGAGGCCTGAGCTGTAACATCATGATCTGATTCTAAACTTTACTGACCTTGAGTTACCTTTTTTTTTCCCTGATATGTTTCAATTCCTGAGAAAAGCAAGAGCTGCAAGCCTGACTTATAATGTACTCATTCAATTAACCACGTGAGAGCAAATCAAACCTTTCCAGGCAATTTTGTTTGAAGTGTCTGCACTCTTCTCTGCATCGTATGAGGTGCCAACACCAGTGGGAGTTTGCCTGCGGTAAGAGCTGTGGGTTTGGATGTATTCTTCCATTTTTATTAGGTCTTACACACACACAGAAATTTTGTGCTATTTAATCTTTTAACTGTACAAAACTTATCTGGCTATGAAGGAAGATAACGTAGTGATTTCCTTTAATTATTCTCATAACTGTTCCCATTATGTTCTATGAGCTAGTTACACCTAAAAAATTCCAAACTCCCTTTTTACAGAAACAAGGTGTTTAACTGAAATCCTTGCACCGTAACTCTAATCAGTATGAGCTTCCCCAATGATGCTATACCAAGATGGCTCATCAGAGCTCCTTCCCAATTAATCCCACTTGGTGATCTCCATTTTAACATTCTAATTTCCTTCTTTCTCTCCATTGATTACCTATATGCTTTCCCTTAAAATATTTTATATGGAATGAAGCTTAAGTGGTCCAAAAAAAGAGTTCTAACTAAACTTGTTGAATATTTATTGCTCTTAATAGTCAGGGTATAATTGCAGAATTGCTTAGTTGGTTTTTTGTTTGTTTGTTTGTTGTTTGTAATGTATGTACTGAGAGTTCCCCTCTGGCAATACGTACACATAACACAAGACAGTCTTACAACCCCCTTTCAAGACAGGAGGAATTATTGAAAGTGAAATCAGGATATGAAGAAACAAACAAACTTTGGAAAGGTCACTTTGCCAGGGCCATACTCTACATTTTCTAATGTAATCAGTTCAACAGTTATGCAGGACTTGCACAATACTTCACATACTCATCACAGGATCCAGTGGTGTTTGATGTCTTGATATCAGAGGGTATCAAAAAGATGATCATATGACAAGAATGCTTCCATTTTTATTCTGTAAGATACAAACAAGTGAAAGACAAGAGCTCTTTACTGTGGAATTAAAATTCTGTACAAACATAATCACGGATTATAGTACTGAAAGTTTAGAATTGACCCCTAAGAACATTTATTTTTAGGCACTCTACACTCTTTGGGATGTTTCTTTTCATTATGGTTTTTGCTTAATTGTTCTGTTACGGTCGTCTTTTTTTCACTACTTTTCCCTCTACTACTGGTATTTAGAGTTCATCCCCTTCCTTCTGAAGCATCATCTGAGTCTCATAACATGGAGATAAATTATTCTCTGGGTAAATATGTTCATAGAATCATAGAATGGCTTGGGTTGGAAGGGACCCAAGGATCATGAATCTCTAACCCCACTGCCACAGGCAGGGCCACCACCCTCCAGATCTGGTACCAGAACAGGTTGCCCAGGGTCCCATCCAACCTGGTCTTGAGCACCTCCAGGAATGGGGCATCTGCAGCCTCTCTGGTCAGCCTGTGCCAGCACCTCACCACTCTCTCATTTAAAAAAAAGAATAATGCCTTGAAATTGAATCTCCAGTTAAAGTGATTAGAGAGAGAGAGATGTCCGAGGCAGGCATAGGACAATAAAAGCAAATCCCTTTTAACTTTTCATTGGGACAGGAAGTTTAAGTAAATAAATACACTTAACAGCTCTTCAATTTCAAAATGCAGCAGTAAAAAGCTGATTCTGAATTTTGTTTCCTTGCTGCCACTTAAAAGAGCAATACAGGAACATTGCTAAATATGAGTTCCAGACTTTCAAATCAACAGATTCTTTACTGGCTTAAAGCTGAGAAGAAAGCTATTGCTGGTAGCATTAGAGGCACATTCTCTTGTTTCCCAGGATGAAACCATTTAAAATTTGCACATCTAACGTAAGAGCACTAACCCACCATTTATTTCCCTGTACATGCTCTGCAAAGCTGTTACAGCATCATTTGGGTAAAACTGAGCAGACCAACTGTGTTCTGTGTGTCAGACACTCCGCTTCGTAGATCACAGCAGTGTTTTACATAAATTGGGATACATTTCTCCCAACTGCAGTGAAGAATAATGCTATTTTTTTTTACTACCTTGGCCATCTCTTTTGGGAAGGGTCTTTCTGCAGAGTGTATTGAAAGAACGGGACAACTTGCAGTAGAAGGAAACAGAACATTCATATCACAGACATTGGAATACTTTTGATGGATCTCATATTCAGGCTTTGGCTGGAAGGCAATTTTAAAAGAAGCAACTAGTTAAACTTGAAATACTTCTATTTCCTCATAAGATTTACTTCTCCTTAATCTGTAACTCTTCATAGTGAGTTTCTATAACCATCAATATGACAGAACAGCAATATTGCCTCATCTGTCATGATTTACTTAATGTTTTCTGAATTTAGTAATATTTGATTAAAATTTAATGTGAACATATCATGTCATGCCACATATATTATTGCATCCATTAATCAGGTAACCATAATAATGAAATGTCGGAAGATTGGATGAAAAAAGAGCTGAAGTCTTTGATATATGTTTGGCATGGTTTTGTGAGTGATTAACGAAAAGATATCCAGTCAATTGTGTAAAGCTTCATTAATATACATTTACAATCATCTAAGCACTGTATCATCAGATATTTTTAACCTTAGTTAAACTTGATTTTTTAATTTACTGAACGACGCTAAATATTAATAATGATGAAAAATACGTAGTATTCTATTAACTCTCATAATGCCAGAATGATTCATAATGTGTCTTAATGCTTTTGTAACAAAATACGTACTAAAAATATTGTCAGAGTTAATGGATCAGTTTTGTTATAGGTGGAAAAACAAATGCGTTATGCATGGCTCTATAAGCCTCAAATTACGTGATTGTATTAAAATGAATGTAAGGCAATATTCCCATCTACTTTTTTTTAATATATAAAGGTAATGTATGGCCTAATTTAGCAGAGTATCTATTCCAGCTTTGGAGATGTGTTGAAGAGAGTAAAACTTCATTTAGGGCTCAAAACTATTTTGATAAACATCTGAAGACTTTCCAAATTTTTTAAAAATCTGTAAATCCTTAATCTTCTGCACATGAAGCAATGAAGGTAAGGTCCAGGTAAACCAAGAGATGTGGCACTGTTTTCCCGATCTTTGTGACAAGGAGCCCTCGTCCTACAGTCTGGATCTGTGTAGAAAATTCTTTTTTTGCGAGGTGGATCATCTGTGGAGCTCTTTGTAGCAGCAGAAGCACACATCTGGATCTTCAGCCCTATACAGTTAACATGCAGAATGTTCCCAGTGGCTTGCAGTCTATGGCACTCATACAGAACATGAAGTGCACTTACTGTGTGCTCTGGAATCCTGTGTTGATAAGGTGCAGCTTTTTTAAAGGCTATTATTTGCCTCATCCCCTCTTTTACTTTTTGTAAGAACTTCATATTTATCAAGTTTTCAATTCTTGATTGCTTTGTGCTGCAGTTGCAGATAGATGTACACATTTTCACACTATAATAAAACAAAATCCCTTCAAAAAACAGATCCCTTCAAAATATTTTCAGAATGCAGATGCCGTGTATTTATCCTGTTCTTTTAAGCTGTCTGTGATTTTAGGCAAATAATCTAAAATTCTACCCAGTGCCTTCTCAACACATGGTCTATGCATTATAGTCCAGATAGTCTCAAACCACTGTTTGTGAGCTAATCTCTAAACTGGAATATTAGCACTATGGAAGGCTGCTCAGAGATCATCATTGCATGGCGTTAGTCTGTACGAGCAAGGAGCAGTATATCAACATCTAGTCCATATTTTTATCCTACAATGACTTGTGTCCAGCTGATTCGGGAGCTCTGTTCTGAGCTCTGGGCAGAAAGCTGGCAGCAGTCATAAGCTTCCTGGATAACAGCTTAGTTAGGAGCAGGGTGGATGAGCGTGCTCACCCATCTACTGATAGAGGACATTAAAAACAGTCAGGCCAGGATCTGTGAACCTTCTAAGCTAAATTCAGCAGAAATAAGCCCATGCAGCTCCATCTGACACCAATTCTGCTAAGAAAGGTGAAATTATGGATAGAAAAAAAGTAAGGAGGCCAGTTACTACCTATTTGTGAGTTAATACATCCGTAAACAATCTTACTGCACTCTAGCCTGACTTCCTCTGTTTAGCCAGCTTCTTTAGACACTGAGGAAGATGTAAATAAAATTACTCCTCCACCTATAAATAAAGTTATTCACCCGTTCTGACAAAATTTTTAATGTAGTTTTTACTTTAGAAATATAAGATGTGAGTGCAGAGGCTCTGTGTAGGTGCTGCACCAGTTACTACCAATTACTACAGGGTGTGTAATTCACACCCTGCCCTGGATGCACGTAGGTCGCAGCGTTTGTCTTGAGCATGCAGATTGGTGATGAAGAAAAACAGGCTGTGTTACCTATTTGTGAAGAAGTGTTAAGAAGACACTTTGCAGAATTCTTTCCTGGGCTTTAGGTGGACTTCTGAAAACAGATTTGCTTCTGAGCTCCTGTCAGTTAGACTAGCCATAACTCATTCTCTGTGGCTGTTAATCCTGCCTGTGAGGGGGTAGGGATAGTCATTTTCTTTGTAGCTGAAGGCAGGAACAGCATCATAACAAATAATGACTTTAGGATAAGACTAAACGGATGAACTGCAATTGCAGTTGTCCTTCAAAATTAAGAACGAGAGGAGAAAAATGCAGAAAATATGATCTAAACTAATATTATTTCCAGCTTTTGTGAGTGCTTTCCAGCCTAGGACCTGAAATGGCTTGCAAATGCTATGGCAATGAATGTTGAAACATGTCTATTAAACAGTTACTTGTCCATGTTTTTATACAGATGGATACTGAATATACGTGTCCCTTGTGTGGCCAGAAAATTTTTGGGCAATGCTGTTCACCACTGTGAAGGTAAAATTACTTGTAATGTAGTTCCCATCCTTCATGTAAAGCATGTTCTTCATATTCACAGATTTGGGCTAGAAGAAAGCACTTCAGGAATTTGGTGTCTCTAAATGGTGCTTGATCTTTAGTTGTAGCTGGACAAATGGTGTCACCAATTTGCATGGAAAGCCACAGGCAGGAACTCCTGAAAGCGTATAGAAAGATTCTGTTCGGGTCATTTTTTTGATGGAAGGGGTTGAGAAAAGGTCATCCTTGGAAACGTAGCAATTGCTCTGGAGTGCTTGAAGTTATTTCCTCCTAGTAGCATCTGTTTTTTTCCTTCATGAGTAGAAAATGCTGGAGTGATACTACTACTGCCTGGAGCTCTAGAGGAGTCCAAATAAATTAACAGTTGTCATACTCTGATGCCAGTGACTGGGATTTTAAATGCTTGAGGAAAAAAATAAGAAAAAAAAAAAAGATTGTAGCCTGTTTTGGCAAGAGGGAAAGTGAGCAGATCAGAGTCTGTTTCTCATATCATTGAGATCATTGAGGAGGTGTTTGAGACCTGGCCTTCTGCTGAGATGGAAGGGAAGTTTCTGCACAATTAAAAGGGTTTGTTACATCCATGTAAAATCTGTGGCCCTCCTTTGATGTAAGAAGCTTTGTATTGCTTCTATCTGCAGTTGTGGGTAGTCAAGGGAGCTCTGCACTTTAGCAGTCAAGGGGGATTACATTCTGGGATGAACTCTGAAGGTCAGAGTTGACAGTTCCTTGTTCTTTGGTTGCTGGAATATGTAAATGCTGTTTGGGGCTTGAGGGAAAAGAGCAGTATGGGTTTGCCAGTTCTGATGTTCTTGTCATTACTGCAGTAGTCTCCTATATGATGAATGAATTCTTGCAAGTAATTTTACTTATTCCTTAATACTGTGAATGTGAAACAATAGTAGGGAGGGCTGCTTCTAGCAGACTGCATCCTGCAAGTTGAGGAAATGCCACCTCCACTAAGCTTAGGATGTGAAGATTAACTTTATTCTCTTCCACTCCTTTCCATTTTTGTAGGGTTTTATGTTATTGTTTTCAGCTGAATATTTGAGAACCTAATGGTGCTTTAAACATCGGAGACTTTGTCACCTTACCTGTGCAGCTAACTGGGAGAGAGCTGCAAACAGCACAGGTTCTTGTGTGCAGCATAGGTAGGACTCTAGGCAGGTGTTCTCCGGCTTTAGATTGTTCATTTGGAAACGAGGGCACTACTTTGTGTAAGTCAGGGAAAGCAAGGTGACAAAATGAGGTGATTTATTTGGCATAACTCAGATAACAGTTTGTGCAGCGCCCTCAGAACTGTCCATTGAGAAATTTCTTGCCTGTGCATACACCATCACTCAGCCCCTTTGTGCGGCACTGAGCTGAGTTACAGTACCTGAAATTTCCAGTGAGAAAGGAATCTTGCTGTCAGGCTCTCTCTGCCGCGCTGCTGATACAAAAGGCTGTGGGAGGCGAGTAGGAACTCCAAAGTGTCTTCAATTGTTACCAGATAGCTGTTCACAGAAAGGTCTTCCCAGAGTTTGCTGCATAGAAAGCACAACCCACACATCATTGTTATTCATTCGTTCACTTTAAGAGGCTTGTTTTTCTCAGATGTGCTCTTCCTGTTTGGCATTTGTAGCTTAGGATTGTTGAGATTTACAGCTGATTCACGAGCCGCTTTTGTTACCTACTGCAGAAGAAGGAATATGGCTGAGTCCGAAATGCAGGTTAAGCTGTATTTCCACCTCAGTACAGTATACTACTCTGGAAGAGTAAAAATAATGAAGTCTTAATTAAGAGTTACACAAAAATTCAGGACCATTTTTATCTCAAATAAAATGGGTAAGGCAATTAAAAGACAGTGGTAATGACTACACATTAGCCTCTCTTACTCATCTGGAGCCTATGTAGAGAGAGATTTTAAAATAATTAACCAAAATTACATGGCAAATGAAGTAAGCAATCAGTGTGTTTCAGTAGGCTTTTGTGCCAGAAAATTTGCCAGACGTGCTTGGAAAAAGGTGGTAAAGCTCGAGAGAAGGGGAGGAAGTTAATTACATCAGAATAATCAGACTAATAACATCAAAGCCATTCATGGGTGTATAGGAAATAAGTTGTGGAGCTTACATTAATATGAATCTAGATATGACATCTAAGTTAAGGCTACAGCCAAGTAGTGTGATCACAGATAAGCAGTTGTTAATTGTTGTTCCAGGGGAGAATTATCAGATAAAGTTATTTCTGCCTAAATTTTCATCAGCATACAAGTATCATCTCATTTCCAGCTTTAATAAAGGCATCTAAAAAAAAGGTAATACTTACTTATTAAAATATATTTTTTAAGTTATTTGTGTGCAAGTGTAACTGAAAACAGTTCTGAATTGTCAAGTCTGATTTGATAAAGCAGCGTCTTTTCGGCAGTGGATTAAATGGGCTCTCTGACAGTCCCATTCACAGCTGTATCTAGGAGTCCCCTCCATAGGAATTCACGTTCGTCTGAAACAACACTGAGCATGAATCTGATTATTCTCCAGCAGGCTATCGTGGCTTAGGCCTCTTTAGATCAGTGACTTCTAAATGGCAGGGATATCTTTTTAATCCGTACAAATTACGTTAAGAATTGATCCGCATAGAGAAAATGCTTATAACTAAAACAAAAAAGCCAAACAGCAGATTTGCACGTAGAATGAATTTTGAGGGCAGTTTTGCATCAGCGTGAGAACACAATGCACTATCTTTGAAAATCACTTCATTAAATTAAATGTAAAATAATTATTCTGAATTATTTAATTGACTTTTCATTTTCAGTGTTTAATGTTCGTTTTGCAAGCTGCTTTTAAAACTAAATACTGAAGATCTGATTTATTCTATGTGAGCATTGTCAACACGTGGGAAATATCCAAATGGGAATCAATTGTATTCACTTCATAAATTATTGCTGCATTAACATCGGGTGTTCTGATATTCTTGGGAATCTTTCTTGTCAGTGAATCTATCACTAAGAAGCCAACAAAACACTTTTATTGATATTAATACATGGGTTGCTCCGAAAGTAATGCCTCCTGTTCCCCCCCCCCCCCCCCCCCCACGCCCATGGAAATGATTGCAGCTATGAAGAACATGATATTAGGTAAAGCACTACTAGGTAAAGCAAATTCTCAGCTACAAAACACTGTTTTTCAACATAGCCACCACTGTGACCCATAGTGGTGGTCATAAAAATCTGCCCCAGTAGAAATGACCCACTATCACTGTCACCACTGCTGAAATACATCGCCCACTGCTTCACTGTGTTCACATCCACTGTAGGTTTCCACAGACCTACAACCAAGTGTTGATGAATGTCAGAGGGTGACATTTTTTTTCACATTGGGGAATTCATTTCCACACCTTACTTTCATATGCCCTTCCATGTCAGGCATCATTTTGTCAGACAACGCGTAGCAGATAATTGGTGAGAAGGTTCAACCCCTACTGCTGTACTACCAACATCTGCCTCTGATGTTGTAGGCCAACAGAATAAAATAGGGGGCACTACTTTTGGAGCAGCCCTTGTATAATACATGTTTAGTTTGAAGGATCAGCAAAAGAGAGAGGAGAGACTTCTAGACAGTGTAACTTCTGCGTAGAAAATATATACACTCAATTATATGGTAGAATAAAGCAGGGTGACTTTTCTGGTGCTCTACAAATCTTGTTTTTTTTCTTCTCCCTATTTTTTTCTTCTGTCCATTTTCTGTTCTGAAACATAACTTTTCAGATCTTTTTGTTACCATTACACAAGTCACTGTCCTCCCAGTCTCTGAAGATGACTTTTCTCCAGCTGAGATTTGCAGGGTCAGAGGCTACAATCCTCCTGGAAGCCGTCCCCAGCTAATTACATCTTGTCCATCCTGAGGAACACGGGCACTTGCAGCGTGCCCTTATTTCCAGTCAGTCCTCCCATTACCCAGTCTAGGGTATAGCTTCTGTGCTTCTTTTCCAGATGTCCATAGTATACGTCCAGATTTCATCCCAGTGCAGTATAGGTGATCAGTGCAGGCATACTCTTGTGCCTTCAGCCAGAAAGCCAGGATGGCCATGGGTCTCATCACCCTCATTAGCAAAACATCAGAAACCTCTCTTTACGTTTCTTACAAGGAACTTCCCAAACCTGGAGAGCAGCAGAGAGCTTCTAAGAAGCCAGTTCCCTGATCCCTTTCCAGAGTCACCTCCTTAAAGGATCCTCTCATAATGGGAACTGATTACCTGTTTGGTCTTAGTATGCCTCAGTTTTGCAGCTGTACAGGTGCCTCAGGGCTACTGTGGCAGCACTTATGACTGAGAGTATTTGTGTGTACATGGATTTCCGCACAGTATTCGTTCTGCAGTTAAACACCTTAAGTAACCCTTGGAAATGATTCTAGCTGTATTTAAAAGTGGTAGCATAGCAACTGATTTTTTTTTATTTTTTTTTTCCCAAACAGTGAGAGAAGTGAATTCTAATCCTCTTGAGGGTGCTGTTTATTAAAATTTCCACAATGGAAATGAAGAGTATCTTCCTCTTTGCCAAAACAGCTCTAAACGAATTGTAACAGAAACATTTTCTTTGGTTGAGATATAGAAAACAAAGAAAACTTTGTTGTTGTTCCAGAAAGCTAAAAAATATAGAAGTATGAGGTTTGTTAGTGCGTGTATTAAATAATGGCTTTATAGAATAAGGTTAGATAGGAGAGGATATGGACTGTTTGAGTGTTCTGTGTAATGGGTCATGAACCTATGCTGGGAATTAGGGTGCCTTGTAAATGGGCTGCCATCACACTGTGAAGGCCGAACTGGGTTGCCTGATGAGCAGCGTGGTGACAAAGAGCTGGTGTGCTGTGGCCCCGCTGTGGCTGCCTTTTCTTATGGCTGTCAAGGACTGCACTTGATGGGAAGTTTTCTGCTTACAGCCCACTTTAATTGAGGAGGGGAACTAAGTGTAAACAAACTGGTGTTTTAAGTTTGACTCTTAAACA